TATTTAACTAATTTATTAGATATTTAAAGGTGCTGATAATGAAATAATCTTGCAATAAATTATAAAAATTGCTAACTTAGTACTAATAATGCACTATATATTGTGCAAATATTTGCATAACTCGAAATTATCAGATTTTTGTAAAGAAGCAAATATCAAACAACAATATAGAACCTTAAAAATATCTTGACGCATCCACGCCTTTTCATTATGATAATAATCAACAGGAAGTTGGTTATGTGATGTAATTCCTTCATGGCGAAATGCCAATGGCATACGGGACTTGTTAATAACCAGAGGCTTGATTTTTTCAGTAACATCTGCATTGGACATGCAAACAACAGTAATTCTTGACTTTTTTTTTTTTTACCCTTTTGTGCAGATGTTAGAAGTGAAGTATTAGGTTCCATACAATAAAACAGACCACATTCATCTGCATTAAAAATGTCTTGGGGTTCATATAACTTTAAGAGATCTTTTAGCTCTTCACGAAATTGGGGCAAAAATTCTATCGGGTCACTCTCTGCTTCTCTATGAATTCGATGGTTTCGGATTCCCATTCTAGCCTTGAATCGTGAAAACCAACCATCAGATGCTTTAAAATCACTTTCTGGAACTCCTAACAATGCTGCAAACTCAAGAGCCTTCTGGCGAATTACTTCTCCTGTAAGAATAAGTTGCCTTTGCTCAGCAGTACCAATCCACATTCCAAGGGCTTGTTCAATCTGAGGAAATTTAGGACTGGTTGTTTTAAATGCATTTGCATTTTTTGAAACTTCACTTATATCAGACCATTGTTTTTGCTTCAGGATCTTTGATACTGTGCTTCGATCGCACTGGAATTCTGCAGCAATTTCCTCATCTCGTAGATTAAGATTTTCTTTTTTTTTTTCTTGAATTTGTTTTTTTTGTATGGCCGTAAGTCTGGTACGGCTTTTACTGATTAAATTTTTTTTTTTATTATTAGGCATTGTAAAATTTTAATGAAAAAAAAATACAGCCCAATAGTATAAAAAAAAAAAATATAATTCTTATTGCTAAGTTTAATGAAAAAGTGACTATAATCGCTAAGTATTCAAGATATATTATTGTTATGTATTAAATACTCAACAGCAATGAAAAAAAAATAGCTTGCATATAGAATCTAACCAAAGTCAATTCGTATATCAATATAATTTAAAAGGCAAAATGATACAGTAATATAAAGTTAATTATAGTATATACATATATACTATAGTACATACAGTCATATTGCATGTACATACATACATATTTGTCTGTTCATTCATGTACGTATGTACCATCATAACCATGTTAATCCTACCTTTACAATATAAGACATTCTTATGTATTCTTAATAGCTTAACCCATGTGAATTTTTCTAGTCGTATATATACTCTTGCATAAACTTGATAGAAAGAGTTGCCCATGGAAAGCATATATGAGTCAACGTTAGAAGTGTAGATATTATAATTTTAGCGCAGACATCATAAGAAATGAATCCCTTTTTGTTTTAAAGAAGTTAGCATAATAATAACTTCTAAAAAATAGATAAATTTATGCTAAAATAAAAGATAATTTTGATTATTTTTAAAAGCTTTGAGAAATTGTGCTAGTTTTTGGAGTTTATTAAAAGAGGTTTGCATTTCTGTTTATTTTTCTTTATTTTTGAGTTTAACTTTTTCTAAATAAGAGCATGTTGCATCTGTACAAATAAGTATATAATAGTTAACTTGTTTGATTGTATTATTATAATGTTTTTGTGAAGTGTTAGGTTTTTTAAATTGTAAATTAGTAGATATAGTTTCTTTGAGATATAGAATAAATTGTTGCTAGAATTAAAATTTAAAACAATTGAAAACTTTAGTTTCATCAAGAGACTTATTAAATTGTCAATTATATAAAAGAAAAAATTGTTTAAACTATTGTTTAAAATGGTCTAGTAAGTTTTTAAGAGATGGAATATTTAATTTTTAATAAAAGTGTGTTTTATAAATATTAAATTTAAGGTAAATATTAAATTTCCTATTTGATTTGATTGTAAATATTATTTATCTTGATCAATATTAGTTATTTCTGATTTGATTGAAATCTTTTAGATCAAAGTTTAAAGTCTTCAGCAGATTTGATATAATCAATTATCTGATAATTATTAAAGAGATATAAATGAATATATACAAGATTAATACAAAGTTGTAATCTGTTTTGGTTTGGATAAAGTGGAATAGTTGCAGATAAGGCAAAGATTTTTGAGTAGTTGAGCTTTGTAAAAAAAACTGTTGTAAAAGTTAGAATTAGTTTTTTGAGAGTGTCTTCAAGTACATTGAAGGAATAGTAATTGCTTTGTTAGTTTTGTTAAATAAATTCAACAAGAAATTCAGATCTACTTTCTGCTATTATATAAATAATATGATAGAAGCTAGATTTAATTGCTTTGTAATTATTAGTTTTGGATTTGATTTTTTTGTCAGAATAAAAGTTATATAAAACTTGTTTAAAAAAATTGAACAGTTTTCTAGAGAAATCTTTTTCAAGTTGGGTTTTTAATTTCATTGCTTCAGAAATAGGAAATTTAATAAGCCAGTCAAATGTTAAATTAGCTTTAATATTATTTTGGTTATTAAAGGTATTGAGTTTTGTTTATTTAAAGGTTGTTTTTGTTGTTGTTATTCTTCTAACTGTGTTTGTTTAGGTTGTTTTTGTTGTCGTTATTGATGTTGATTGTTTTGTTGTTGCTGTTGTTGTTGTTGATTTGGCTATTGGATAGATTGTTATTAATGTCTATATTGTTATTAGTATTATTTGTATTTTCTTTTATTAAAGTTAAAAGATTAAGTTGGAATAATAATAGGTTTCTGTATTCAGAAAATGATTGTTGAATTTTTTGGATAAGATAGTATGTAAACTTTGTTGAGATATAAAAGTGCTTTATTAAGATATAGATGTACTTTATTGTTTATTAAATTAAGTTTGAATACATAATTTATAATAAGATTTGTTATTAAATAAGATAGAGTTAGTTGCTAGTAATGTTGGTTGTTGGTTACTTTACAGTTAATAGTAAATTGCATATAGCATATGTATGCTAATATGTAATAGGTAAGAGAAATAAGTTAGGTGATAGTAAAATGAATTCTGTAGAATTTATAATGTTATGTATTAGGTATTTTTTATCTTTAGTTTTTTTAATTATGTTAATTACTTCATTTTTATTATATGTTTGATTGGTTGCTAAAATGAAGTATGTATAGAATTTTTTATAGAAAAAACTAACAATAGAACTTGTTATTAGTGTCTTAAAAAAGTGACTACTTTTAACAGCACTTCTGAATTTAGTTGTTATACAACTACTAAATAGTTTATTAGAAGTAATAGAACATGATGTATTTATATTATCTTCATAAATTCCAATACTGAAGCTTTTAGAACATTTTTGATAAAAGTAATTGAGGTTAATAATATCAAACATGACTGTTACCAAGATAGGCAACTTGTATAACTATGTATACTAAATAATTTTATAGTATTAAAATTTGTTAAAATATTTATAAAACTAAGTTTTTTAAAAAAATTTCTTAAATTTAAGAGTTTTTAAACTGTTTAGAAAAGATCTAAAAAGTGTAATACTATTAGAATAAGTAATTGGATGTTTAGAAATTTTAATAAGTATCAAAAAAGTGAAATTTTCAGAACAATCCAACAAGTTTTCCTAAAATTGCCTTTGAAAAATTCTGCAAAAACAGATTTTAGTTTTGCTTTTTTGTTAATATTTAAATAAATTTTAATTTGTTTTTAATAAAATATATATCAAAATGTTTGTTTTGGTAAGCTAAACAAAGTATTACTAAGGTAGAAGTATATTTAATTAATAGAATTTTAAGAAAATACACAAAAACTAAAACTTTGATTTTTATAACTTTTCTTAGTAACCAAATGTTGTTAGAACTTGAAACATAACTGCTTAGAAGTAAAAAAGTGTTTTGAACAAGTTTGTTTAAGAGCAAAAATAAGGTTAACTTAATAAAATAATTAGAAATAATTAAATATTTTAGCAAAAGTTGGTACAAATGATTTGCAGAAAGAGTTATAGTTTAATTTTCAAATTTTAATCCAAATTCATAATTATTATTATTGTATATTATATAATTAGTTAATAAAGCTATTAGTATTAATATTGTCTAGCTTTTTTTTGTTTTAACATTTATATATTTTGTTTACAAATTATATTTAATTAGCTTTTGAATTTATAAAATATTAACTGCTAATAAGTCTTTTGCCTTATTCTAACATAAACTATTGTTAATTAATAGTATTCTTACTTTTTTTATAACTGTAACCAAATTTGTAATTAATATTTTAATGTATAGTTTATTAATATTATAATCAGTTAATAAACTATTGGTATTTATATATTGTCTAGCTTTTTTTGTTTTAATAATTATATTTTTTATTTGGAAATTATATTTAATTAGTCTTTTAAATCTATTTAAAGAACGCAAATCACTAACTCTTTCCAACAATCACTTGTACCAAATTTTTGCTACAAACATTTGTCTCTTACTCAATATTTTATTAAATAAACCACTTTTGGGTGTCTAAATAAAGTTGTTTCTAATACAATTTTACACTTAGGCGGCCAAGTTTTATATCTCTAAGTTTCTTTTTAACAGA